CTGATCTTTTCAAATGCGACCTGTGTCTGAACGGCCAGGTCGCATTCATCCGACCTGAACGCCATTAGTAACCGAGATAGGTCTCTATTCTGCTTTTTGCTACACAGAAGCGGCAAGAAAAAGACAATGATGCAGAGAGCAGTATTTTTGTTTAACTATCTTAAAAAGATTGAGGTTTTAAGGTTTGGAAAGATCGCTAGATGCGCTCCAGCACTACATCCATGATTGCTTCCGTAAACACGAAGCACGCTGGCTTGTGACGTCATTTCATCCTCTTAATGGGCATGCAGGACACTTAAGCTGTATGACTGCAGTTCACACAGGAGATAACATACAAGTTGCATATATTTGGAAATGTGAACAAACGGCAATGCAAAAAAATTGGAATTGAGCAGCAAGGCCTGCAGTGTGAACGTAGCCTAAGAGCCTTCAGTGAAATCATAGATACTGTAAATAACAATTTTAATAAAACCTATTAAATTATCAATTTATGTAGATATTAGTACATGTAAATATCAATTTTATGCAGAATGATATTGATAAAGGTAGGTAAGTAATGACGATGGAAAAGATGTTCGCTCCAGAATTCAAATCTGAAGGAATTTTATCCAATATACCTTCTATCTAGACGGATGTTTAAATATATGCGACTATTTGTTAGCAAAGGCTGTAGGAAACTATAGTTTGTCTTTATTTAAAAATATGGACATTTTGCTTGTTTCTGTTGTAACAGTGATTGACCCTGAGGTTCTGGCGCCTATCCACTTTTGGCCACCCCTCAGTATACATTGGTCTGGCTACGCCTCTGCATTGATCTCGCATTGGAGGAATTTATCTCTGCATTTAAACCATCCCCTTGGGGAGCAGTGGGCTGCCATCGTGGGGCACCCAGGGAGCAATCGGGGGTAAAGGGTCTTGCTCAGAGAGCTAGAGTGGCAGTCTGTGGGAGTGGGTTTCGAACTCACAATAACAACCACGGGTCATTAAAAATCATTAAAAGTCATTAAATTATTATTTTTTTAAATTAAGGCCTTAACTGGCATTAAAATTATTTAATGTAATTATCGTGGCATTTAAAATGCTTTATTTAATAAAAAAAGAAAGAAATTTATAAAAACAATTTAATCAGATATATAATATCTCAATATATTTGTGCAGAACTGCTTCCAGTTGATCGTAAAGCCGTATGTTCGGAAAGAAGCACGAGGCGGAGAAAAAGCTAGAGAATGGGAAAATACACATTTTTGAAAACGAGGAATTCGAGACACGGCTGCATATGTGTTTGTATGTATGTATGTATATATATATATATATATATATATATATATATATATATATATATATATACATATGAGAGTCACATGTAATTTTTGATTGCATTAAAATTATTTGTAAGAGCATTAAAAAGCATTAAATTAGAGTTACTCATTCCTGTATAAACCCTGCTGCAAAGCAGCTCCAAATTTTAGATGGAAAGGATCTGTGATCATTGATTTCTTTCAAATGGATTTCACACTGGATTTTAGTATGGACTTAGACTAGGCCATGCCACACATGGGTCATTCAATTTTAGCAGTGGAAGTATATTTAGGATAAACCTCTACCTAAGTCTCGGGTGTTTTACAGCCTGTAATGAACTGTTTATCTGCCTTTCTGTGCCAAAAAATCCCCAAACAAAACGATGCTGCCACCACCATGTCTTTACCTTGAAGATGTTGTGCTCAGAGCGTATTGCAGGGTTGCGTTTACATGCAAAAGAACATTTGGCATCCAGGCCGCCTGTATTTATGTTAAGATTAAATATACTTGAAGATTAACCCTGTTTTGTTATGAGATTGTGTATTAAGGGAGTTGGTTGCGCTGGATTGCATTTAGAAATCCCAGACTTAGGGGAGTTATACTGGGCAAAAAGAAATGTAATACTGATATTTTTGATTTATTTGATTTATATACTACATCATTTCAATCTCAGTCTTTGAGTTAGAGCATTTTTCTCCCCGCTGAATCTGAGCGCATGAAATATTACTTTGCAATAGTGCAAATCATTAAGTTCTGCATTATATAAATCAGATCAAACCTTACCTTTTTTCTTTTTCAAGTGTGAAAGCATGAAAATTAGGAAGCTTTTAAGAACTGTTAGTCTTCTGTAGGAATTTAGAGTAAACAGTTTGTGGTTATTAATAAAAATTGATCACTGATCAAAGATGGAGATAAATGCTCATTCAGAAAGCAAAAGCACAGACCAGAGCGTGAATGAAACTCTGCTGTTCTTATTGTTCTTTTTTTTGTTTTAATCTGAAAAAGCCAGAGAGTTTTGCACCAACGTCCGTATCAGCTGGACCTGATAGCAGCAGGTTAGTCCCGGAAGAAAACATTCCTACCTGCTTACCTCAGAGATACCAATTTCCTTGTAAGTAATGATTAAAAGAAACTCCCCAGACCCTGTTTGACCATTTGTTTCCGCCAAAAGACAAATATCTGTATTCAAAGATGAGTTATAGTGGTTTCCCAATGTTCTCTTAGAGATAAACACTACTGCATAAAAGCTGAGTTTATTGAAAAGCGGTCAATCTTTTTTCTTTTTTCGCTTGTTTAAAGGGGATGGTCTCCTCTCAAAATGCTCTCCTATCTTTCCTATTGTGAAGAGATGACTAATTAAAACCAGCTTCGGCGTTACAAAATCTTTTATTTTTATACTCCATATAAACAGAGTAAAAAAAAAATATGTCACTAAAGAAACAGCTTGTAGTTTGATTTATTAGGAGTTGTTCAACTTGTCGAAGTAGTGAGGTAATGCTGCTGCTGAAGGTTAATCTAATCTATCCTGATTTTATGTAGATGATCAAATCTAGATTACTGGAATTGCATGCATCTGTTATAGGTCAGCTTTTTAAGAGAGGGGAAGAATTAGTTGCACACCAAGTTTCTGGATATAAAGAAAAAAAAATCAGATCGATTATTAAAATAATCGTCAACTAATTTAGTAATCGATTATTTGTTAAATGGATTATAAAGACTCTGAAACATGCCTTTAGCTAACTGATCAACCCCCTTAGAGCAGTAACTATATTAAAATTACAAAAGAAATAAATATTTTGAATATAAGATAAAAAAAAAAAAAACATTTGTGCATTAATATGCTCTATCCAGACCTCCTCAAGTGGAAAAGTTTTAGTTTCACCTGATTTAGTTCTGTAAAAAGAACTTCTTTAAGGAGTCTTTTTCTATCTGATTATTAATTTGATTAATTAAAAAAATAATCAACGGATTAATAGATAAGAAAAATAATCATTAGTTGCAGCCCTAGTACCCAGGTTTATTGAGCATTATTAAACTTAAATTATTTGACTGGGTATATATAAATTTACAGCTGTAAAACTCTATTAAATTTTAATTTAGCATAAATCAAAAGTGTGATATTATGTAGTGGCAATGGAAGGAGAAGGTTGTTTTCTTCACCAGCAGTAATAAGTAGGAGCTGAGGATTTTAATAGCATTTTTTGTCTTTTTAATAATTTTAAACCTGCTTGTTGGTTTAAATGTTTTTTGTTTTTATTTAGTGCAGTATCGAGTTTATTGCTGGTTAGCTTCACTGGCTGCTTCTTCTTGTGTGTCTAAAAACGGGCGTTTAGTCACTACTGATAGGTTTTCCAGCTGTAGAGGTCATCTGTAAAGCCCCATTTTATTGTTTGTGTTTTTTTTTTCTTCCTCTGGAAGGGCATCTCCGGTATGTGTGACGATCTCACATCGCTGCATTGCTACGCCAGTGATTAGTCATCCAGGCCAAAAACAGGTTCACTCTTTGGATGTCGTAATCTGATGCTAAATGTGGCGTTCGGTGTCTCAGACAAGTTTTTTTGTGCACAGCTACTCCAACTAATGAATCATGGACCTGTAATCAATGAATTTTAGGCTAAATAGCAAGTTTTTCTCTCCTGTATATGTCAACATACAGATATTTGTTTTCTTTATTTGAGATCGGTTTTAAGCATGGAGCCCGATTTATTTTATTTTTTCAATCAAATCTGTCAGTAAAGGTAGGCCTGTCCTTTGTAGGTATTTCAGACAAATCATTATTCAAATATTCTTGCTTTACGTCTTTATAAAATGAAGTATCTGGGTCGTTGTGGAAGCTTTGCTGGTTTGTGTGGCTTCAACCCCAGCAGACATCAGAATAATCTCATTACATCACATTTAGAGGGGAAAAATCAACCATAAACGGCGGTTCAAGCTTCTAAAGACTCATAGCCTTTTGATCATGTCATTAAAGCCGGCCCTTTGGACCTTATTCCTAATAATTACTGACATGCAGTGACGGCAGCAGCAGCCGGGCCTAGCAGGAAATGTGTGTGCGACATGAGTTGATAAAGAAGCATGAAAGTGTTTGAAGTACCTCCTCAATGTGGATTATGTTGTTGTGATGTCAGAATTTGTAGCCAAAATATGCTAAATTACTTTATAATTACAAACAAAATTGAAGTATTTTTCAGTTCAGGATCTAATTCAATCAAAAAGATTTAAAAAAACAACCAGAGGAAGTAATTGATGTAAGTACGGGTTAGTTTTAGCTTTTTGAAACCTGCGTACTATTTGAGTTGCATGAAAAACTAGGAAATTAATATGAAACTGGATCAAACACAAGTTTTACATTTGGACAGTTCCAATTAATGCAAAGCTGTAAACTGAAAATACTGATTGAATGGATTAAAGTTCTAATTTTCGAACTTTTTTGGATTAAAGTTGTAATTTTCTTTTCCCTAAAAAATTTTTAGGGAAGAGGTTCGGGATCCTAGCTCAGGGTCAGGTGTTATGGTTGGGAAAATGTGCAAAGGATGCCTTACTGGGTCAGAGATGAAGCTTTTCTACTCCAACAGCGGTTCTGTCACAAATTCTCCCTGAAACTGGATGCAGAACAGTTTCGATTTGAGATGAGTGACCACGGAAACTAGCAGGAACTTTGCTCAAAATGTGATTAAAATGGGAAACTATAACTAAATCTGGGGAGGTTCTTTCTGAATAGAGAGGATATTAAGCTACATTGCAAAGAAAATGATCTAAAAATAAGCGAAAATGTCTTAAATTAAGTGTAGTTACCCTTAATTTGAGTAGGTAAATAAGATGATTTGCCAATGGAATGATAATTTTTACGCTTAAAATTCGATGATTAGATAATATTCACTTGAAATAAGACAATACAATAGTTTTTTTTCTTATTTTAAATGTAAATTAGTTTTGTTCCATAGGCAAACTGTCTCATTTACCTCCTCAATTCAAGAACAAATGCATTTTTAAGAAAAAAGGGACTTATTTAGATTTCATCAAAGTTCTGAACAGCATTAAAGTTATTGATTCCAAAAGGGAAATTTAACAGAAAATAAACCTACTTAGAAAAAACTCCAAAAAGATAAAAACCATACCAAGCTTGCTTTAACTTTAATCCTCGCTTTGATTAGTCGTATATGTTTTTATTCTTTTTGCATTTAACGACTCTTATCACATATGCTGATTCTGATTTTGAACCATATCGATTCTTATTCTATCTGTTATTTTAAGATCACAATAACATTTCAATCTTATCTTGGTGATAAACATCAAACAATACATGTAAAGCAATAAAAACCTGCTTAACTACCCATTGGGTAGTATTTTATAAGTTTTTCCACATATAAATACAAAGATTAGTGCTTTGAATTTGGGTGATTTTCAGACTTTTGCAGAAGTAAATAAAGCCGGTTTCATGTCCAAGTATCAGCCTATTATGGATCCTCCAAAATTAGGAAAATAAAGGCCAATTGATCGGTGTAACTCTATCATAAATGCCTTAAATTGAGTTATGACTTATAAATTCAAGGTTTAGCTTCATGTGTGGCGTTCCCTTCTTTCTCTGGGGATATTAAACCATTGCATAATGGTACTTAATTCAATAAAAATACACAATAAGTACCTCATGCCCAGAACATCGATTGTTAATATTGGTCATATTTAACTCATAGAACTGATACTGATATGTTAAGAAATTATGGTCCTACTGGTTTATGGCAAAGGCGAGGTGGGTGGAAAGGGAGTCATTTTCTCTCCCATGAGGATTAGCTGTCACACGTTGCTATCCTGAGCTGCTGTTCCTGCTGCTCTGTGCTAAAGCTTGTGTCTTTATGTTATGCGTCTCTAAGCCAACAGCGTGGCTACAACAACATTTAGTTAGCCTACACCTACTGATACAGGTTGGACGCCAAACACTTCTTGACATTCTGGGTGTACCGGGGCAAAATGCACACCGAGTCATCCAGTGACGAGTTATGCAATGATAGAAAAGCAAGCCGGTAATTACTGCAATCAACTTGACATAACGTGAATGTTTCCTCTCTAAGCTTCAACCAGGCTGTGTTTAAATGGACCTGAGTGAGAATATGTAAAATGGTAGAGCTGGATTCCTCTCTGTTGGATGGACTAAATCATAATCAGCTGGCAGATTGGGTTAAAAAGCCTTATTTGTGTGCAAGTTTTTGTCGCTGCCCAGATATATGAGACTGAATCTGCTGGCGTCAGACTGATTTGTTCACGTTCCGCCCACTTTATTACCTAACAGACTTTAAAAACCTGCAGCTTGTATGTTTAGAAATGATTCATAACTGACTCATTGCCTGCAGGGTGATATTCAGACGTAGTGCAGAAATGAATGGGAGCCAGGGATTATTCTGCAAAATCAGACGGGTCTCGCCACCATTCAAAAAAACAGTGTTGCTTTGATTCTTTTTTTTTGTCTGTGTGCTTTTTGTCACCGTTATTTATTATTAGTTAGACGGAGGGAAAAGCGAAAAGCAATTGGTAAGATAAGTCTCTAATTTCGTTTGAATGTGCAACAACATGGGGTGGAAAGGAACAAGTATTCACACCCCTTCAACTTTTGTGAAAATTTATTTTATTCTCAGTTTTATTAGGTCTGGACTTTGACTAGGCCGATTTAACCTCTGATTGGCTTAGATTTAAATGGCCGGCGGAGTCGAGCCACGTTCTTCCACTGACCAGCGTCACGTTTGTCATGCCTTTCAGGTCTCGAGGCGTTAACGGGCATCCGTCATGCCGCTGTTTGGTAAATCCCACAAGAGTCCTGCAGACATTGTCAGGACCCTCAAGGAAAACCTGACGGTTCTAGTCAAACACGATAAGAAGACAGAAAAGGTAGGTACATACACTTATGTTGCGTTCCTCCTTATTGAGAAGCATCCTTTCATTTCGCTCGTCCTCTTTGTTGTCCAGGCGTCTGAGGAAGTGTCAAAATGCTTGGTGTCCATGAAGGAGATTCTGTACGGGAGCAACGATAAGGAGCCACACACTGAGACTGTGGCTCAGCTCGCACAGGAGCTCTACAACAGCGGCCTTCTGATTTCTCTGGTAGAAAACCTGCAGGTTATAGACTTTGAGGTGAGGGGATATCAAGCTAACGATTCAGATGATGAGGTAGAAAGGTCAGAATGTAACGTTTCTGGTGTTTTCAGGGGAAGAAAGATGTTTGCCAGATCTTTAACAACATCCTGAGGAGGCAGATCGGGACGAGGAGCCCCACAGTTGAATACTTCTGCTCCCACCAAGAGGTCCTCTTCATTCTGCTGAGAGGGTGAGCCAATCAGAAGGTTTTCACCATATTGTCTCGATGTTGTGGCACGCTCACGTAAAGCCGGTCTCTCTCTGTCTGAAGATATGAAACGCCCCAGGTAGCACTGAACTGCGGCATCATGCTGAGGGAATGCATTCGCCACGAGCCACTTGCCAAAATCATTCTTCAGTCGGAGCATTTCCACAGCTTTTTCAACTATGTGGAGATGTCCACCTTTGACATCGCCTCGGACGCCTTTGCTACCTTTAAGGTAACTGAGATTCCTGTCAGCTTTGAATATAACCAGCTGACATTTTGTGCTGAAGATCAGATCTACTTAAGGGGAAAAAATCCCACAGTTTTTACAACTTTTCCTTTTTACTTATGTTTATTCTTATTTGAGTTATTTAAAGAAGGATATACAGATTAATTTATCCATTATGAAGAGGAAGTCAGCTTGGATACCTAACAAACCCCCACTCTGTGGTGGAATTTAAAAGCCCTCTGTGGTCAACCGAGTCTGTATGTGATTCACTGCTGTGATGAATTAGGCCAGGGGTCGGGAACATATTTGACTTAGAGAGCAATGAAATTTATTTCAGTGGGAGCCATATAATATATTTTAAGACTGAATTCAGCTAAATGTGAGTAAAATAAGCCTTTGAATTTATTATTTTTTTGATAATGTTATTATAATACTGAACATCAACAACTTCTGGTGCTACGTGGATTTGCTGAACCAAAATGCGACAAATGACTTGCGTCTGTTGACTCATCCAAAGCCAGGGAAAAGAACGGTGCTGCATTTATGTCCTTAACTTGCGTTTCCTCCTCTTGGTTTTCCATCATGATGGTACGATCAGGAACAGTTCTTGCCGACAGAGGCATGTCTGCATTCCATTTGATTATCTTTTGTTCAGAAGATCATCAAAAAAGTTTATTGGTTACATCCAGCTTGAACTGGATGTAACACTGATGTTCTGTCAGACCAGCATACCCATAGTCAATACACATGTGCAAGACATCAGATTTGCAAACGCTTATTCTATTCCCGTTTATCTCTTTAGTTTTGTACGAAAAACACACTTTAAACTACCTCGACGGGCGTGTATCCCTTCAGTCATGTAAAAAAAAATATTTACGGTCAGATCACCATGCACTTTAAAAAACACCAAAAAGTAAGTAATTACATTGTGTTTTTGTACATGACTAAAGGGATACACATATGTTGAGGTAGTTTAAAGTGTATTTTTCGTAGAAAACTAAAGGGATAAACGGGTATTAGCTGTGGGCATGCTGGTCTGAAGGAACACCGGTTCCATACGCAGAGTTCCTGCTGGCTAGCTTGCCTGCTTAGAAGCTCTTGGCGTGCTTTCTTCCTGCTTTCTACTGCAGGGTATTTTGATGCAAAGGTCGCATGGCGTGTGTCATTCAACCGTTTCATCGATGCAGCTTTGTCATTGCAAATTCGGCAGATCTCAGAACCTGCTCTCTCCACAAATCTTCAGTCTATTCTTTTTGAAACTTACTTTGAAGGGTTGGCTTTAAGCTAATGACCGAGCACTGATTCAAAAGGGGGCGTTTACCTGTTTACCAGCAACGGCCAACATAGGCTATTATCCAATTAAAAATAATGGACAAATGCTCCTGCAGCCGACAGCAGCCCTGAACAGGACACGATCAGAGGAAAATAGATGCATGGATTAAGACAAGTGATAATATTTAATGTTTTATCTGAAAAGCTGAAATCTGCGAGCCAGATGCAATCATCAAAAGCCACAGGTTCCCGACCCCTAAATTGGACTGTTTGTAACAAAAGGTGTTATTGAAAACATCAAATTTGAAGGTTAATCTATCTATATATCTTCAAACCTCAAAAATTCTTGCAGCTCAGGTGGGAATTAAGATTTAGTTCTGACCAGTATTCTTAATCTGATGCAACACTTTTGTTACCAAAGTGTTTTAGATTAGCTCTCCATTGAGTGATTGTGTCGCTCTCACTTTCATGTCCCGTAAGGGATTCCTAAGGGTTTGTCTGGGCTGTAGTTAGGCGTCATTCAAAGTTTTATCCAGTCAAATTCCCCATAGCATGTTTTAAGCTAACGCTAACATTGAGAGGTGACAGTAAAGAAGTATAAACACTCAAAATTAAAGCTGCAGTCAGACATCCTCTCCTTCATTTGGGTTTGACACAGAGAAAAAAATACTATATGGCAACAATTAATTCTTGGTTAAAGAAACAACCTGCAGTCGTCCCTTTAGTCTGGCTGTTGACTACCTGCTAGAGCTGTTGGTTGTATCTGGGACATTAACTGTATTATGTCCTTTTCAGCTTTTGGTTCTTCCTTATTTGTTAATCCCGCAATAAAAACTGGTTTCAAACAAATTCGTCTTGAGTTTAATCTGATTAAGTTGGAAAAATACGCCTTCCCCAAAATGTTTTTAAATAATCTGAAGAGATGATTTTGTTTCATGTGAGATTTGGTCCGAGATCACACAAGATCATCAGTACATGGAAACACTTCCTGTTTTTCCTGTTTCCTGTTGTTTATTTCAGAAAATTATCTTTTAACCCTAAATGTTAGCATACGGAAGATGAGATGATTTAAAGTTTTATTATTATTTTTTTAATAGATTTTTAGGTGTTGTTGATGTTAATGTCTGGATATAACTCCATTTAGATCTTAATCTGAGAGGCCTGAAATTACTACATTTTCTGTTAACAGCAATTATTTTAAGTAATGGAGAAGAACATGTATTCTTTTTTCTTTTAAAGCAATGCTTTGAAATAGATTTTTTTTCTTTGTTACAAAGGTTTTTCCATATTTCAATTCATTCTCACCAGAAAATAAAACAAAACACTATCAGTTCTAGCTAACAATGGAAAGTCCTAAAACCTTGTTTACATATAAAGTTTTCTAAAACTATTGTGATATTATTATATATAATGTTTGTTTTCTTTTTAACTGTTTATTTTCTATTTATTTATTTTTACAGGATCTTCTTACAAGACACAAAGTGCTTGTGGCTGATTTCCTTGAACAGAACTACGACGCTGTGAGTGATCTGATCATAAAAACACGCCTGTTACACTAAAACCCTCCCAGCACAAAAGTAGTACAGAGAACCAATAGATGGTATTTGTTGATTTATTGGAAATAACTAAACATTTCAACCTGCTGTATGCCTTTGGAAGAGGAGCTATAATCCCTTTATGGGTATAAATGTTTAAAAAACACAAACATTTAAAATAAATGTGTTTTTATTGCTGTAAAAATTAGTATGTTCGTTTAGTAGTGAAAAATTACAGCATAGTAATGACCTACAGACGTTTTAGCTCACAAATTTATTATTCTTTTTATTAGTGCTTTTACTCTTATAATCATGGCTGCATGCTTTTGTAGTTTATAGCTATGAGAGAGAAACATATGTAAGTCTTTGGTAAAATGGGAGTAAAAGGAGACTATATGAGATTAAAATAGTCACCTAAATGTTTCTGTATCCACAATTTGGAAAATAATTTAAATTTGTCAAACTAGATCATGACAATTTGGGCTTTGGTGTGCAACCCACAGATAGGAAGATGGTAACAGGAAATGTCTTCATAGCTCAGTGGTAAAAATAAACCCTTTTTAAACTTTAGATATGTTAAAGGCTACTGGGATGGTTCCTGCAACACTTTTCTTTAGATAATCTTTTATATTTTTTCCACAAGTTCTTTGAAACAGATGACTAAATCAACAGAAAAGATTCAACAGACGTAAAATGAACCCATTGCCCCAGCTTCATCGGCTTAAAGTCTGCAAAGGTGTACTAAGAGTTCTAACAGAAGACTTAATTATTGTTTGTGTGTAGGAACTCAAGCTTCTAGATGGATTTTTAACTCATCTTTAGCAGTGGTGCAGTGATGTGTGAAGGGCGGCTGTACTCAGTGGTCCAATCATGTCACACTCAGGCCCTCTGAGTGTTTTTCTAGAAATGCAGATTCCTAGAAAAAGCAAGGAGATGCAGAGTGCTCTCAATGTCACAACACCTCTAGGTACAAAGCAGGACTTTATGCCTTCTGTCTCCAGAGGCAGAGAGGGCCTCTCATTCCAGGGGCCTGCTAGGGTCTTTGCTACAGGTACTCTATACAGAACTGCCTTTTTGAGTTCCATTACTCTGAGGGGCCTTTGCAGCAGGATCTGCAATGAAAGTGGGTCTAGATGACGTTACCGCTGCAGAGACAGGTCTCCGGTTCTTTGGTTAGCCATGGAGCCGCAGTTATCAGATCTGATACCTGGACATAAACAAACTTTTATGTTCTGTTTGCTTGATTGCAGGTTTTCGCCAACTATGAGAAGCTGCTGCACTCTGAGAACTATGTCACGAAGCGGCAGTCGCTCAAGGTTTGACTCAGATCCTGCATGAGTATCCAGAAAAGCCTATCGGCGCGTGACCCCTTTGTCACAGTGTTTGAAATCATCTCTCCTGCAGCTTCTGGGCGAGCTGTTATTGGACAGACACAACTTCGTGGTGATGACGCGCTACATCAGCAAGCCTGAAAACCTCAAACTCATGATGAATCTGCTCAGAGACAAGAGCCCCAACATCCAGTTCGAGGCCTTCCACGTGTTTAAGGTAAGGAAAGAAAGACGCATTTAAGGGGACTGGAAAATGGGCTTAATAAACGAACAGATACGCCTTTTAACTGGGCTTTAATGTGAAAGAATTTCTTTCGAAAAGAAACCTAAAAGTGAGGTAAGCATTTGTGTTTAGCCTCATTTATTCTAAAACCTTCATATAAAACGTAATACATTAGAGCAAACAAACAACGTACATGTCCCAGAATGGCCTAGTCAAAGGCCAGAAATTAGTCTGAATGAGAAGCTGTAGCATAGGCAAAAAAATTTATTAGAATTTTTTTGCAGGTGATTAAAAAACAAAAATATATATTTTTTTGTATAACGCTGCAATTTTGGCTCCCCAGAGCTTCCGTAGCTGGAGTATTACTCCCACGGTGCACTTCGACAACGACATCATGGCTGTCACTACCCGATCCATTTTGCGCATGCGCGAACAGATATACATCTGGGTGTCCATAAATAATGTAATTATGGTACTAAAATAACTTTTTTTCTATCCTTAACTCACTAAAGCATGCTAATACACATCTTCAAAAAATGGTTTATGCCTTTTGTGAGAGAATTTTGATGCTTTTTACATTTTCTTTGTAAACTGCTTCTCTGACGTCACCATTGGACACGCTCAGAGCAGTCCGGCAAGATATGTTTACCATGTTTATCTGCATTTCAGTTCTTTCTTTAGTTAGATTAAGCAATATATACCATAAGGTTAATCTAGTCAAAAAGACTAGATTTATGTTTAAATCAAACGCCGAAAAAGTTAGCCACCGGAAGTAGCGTAGGATCCCATTTCGGGCACAGAGTGATAAAACAAAGGATTTTAATGCATTTATTTTCTCAGGAAATACATTATTAACCTTTAACACATTGTATTTTGGTACGCTTACTTTTTTTGGGGAGGGAAAAACGTCATTTAGGTCTTTCTAGCAAAATAAAATCGAGGGTGACCCGGATGTATATCTGGATGCACAAATGAGCTGATAGCGCACGCGCAGAACGGATCGTGCTTCTGGGATTCATCAGGTAGTGACAGTGGCTACCGGTGAGAGTGGGAAGTTAGTCCTGATAACAGGAATATAATCATCCATTGTTTGGAACTGGTTTGAGTTTGCTGCGACAGACGTCGCACCTACGGCTGGAAGGTGATGTAAACAAACATACCAAAAGCAAGACGGTTAGCATTAGCTATAAGGATTGAACTTTTCCGAGAGTTAAAGAACGGATTTTATGTGATGGTTTTCTCATCATGGAATTTTTTTATTATGAATGTGCTGGATTACGTTTTATCTGTAGACCCATAAGGACAAATAGAATATAAACAATCTAAGATTGGATTTATAATGCGGCCTCAGGATCGCGTTAAAATTTGAAAGCTTTATTTTAAAAATTTTGATTTAACATGTTGGAATATCTTTATTAATTGTGCTTTGGTGCTCATGGTGTCCATAAAATGAACTTGATAGTTGAATTGTGGAAAATTTAAGCTTTCTAAGAACGTATAACATGTCTATAATGGTAAAAGTTTAACCAGTGCTATTTTCTAGCACACTGCTGTGTTTAATGTAAATATGCACAATGGAACGCCGCCGATCAGTTGGATGCTAAGAGGTTAATAAGCAGGGGGAAAAAATCAGAAATTCAACCCTCATCTGAAAATGTTGCTGTTTTTAATGTGATCCGATCTGAACAGGGATGGTGCCCTATTTGATATATTTTTTCTGCAACTTTCAGGTGTTTGTCGCAAACCCCAACAAGACGCAGCCCATCGCCGACATCTTGCTGAAGAACCAGACCAAACTAATCGACTTCTTGAGCAACTTCCAGAAGGATCGCACAGACGACGAGCAGTTTAACGACGAGAAGACCTACCTAATCAAACAGATCAGGGATCTGAAGAAACCAGCCTCCTAGAAAAGCTCCCCAAACTTTTTTACCAATAGGAAGGCGTAGAAATAAAACACATTAACAATAATGGTTATTCTATTTAAAAACAAATTGATCCTTGTTGGTAAAAGTAGCTCATAATCACTGATCTAACTTTTGTAAATTCATTTTTTTTCTTTTTTTACTTTAAAACATGTTTTTCATCTGTAGCATGTAGTGCCACAGCTCATTGTGTTGAATCAGATTTGCTTTGATGAAAGAACCAGCAGGAAGAACGATAAAAAAAAAAGACTTGGGCCAAAATCTTTTTTGATTCTCTGATTACCTCTTTTAAAGGAGGAAATCACCAAATTTTTTTTTATGCATCTGTGTCAAAGAGATTATTGGGGAAAGATGAAGAAGAAGTAAAAAATGAGCAGACTCTAAATATGCAGTTGGCTTTAGCAAGATGCTGAAAAGAGAAATAAATTATGGCTTAAATAAATGGCTAAAATAAATATTTTAAGATTCGATCATTGAAATAAAAATTTGTGACCACTGGTACAAAAAAAAAAAGCTCCAGGATTGTTGGACACAGTCGCTAAAAGCACTTTCTGTAGATTAAAATTAATATAAAAAAAAAAAAATAAGTTGATCAGTTTTCAATGCTTTTTCTAATTTTTAAAAAACGTATATCTTTGGATTTGTTGCCATGTACAGTGTGTGGTATGTGTTCATGAACTGAACTGAACTGAACTGAACTGAGTGCCACTGTGAGTGAGAACTTTAATTATAACCCGTGATGAAGAGAAAAAGGCTGCAATGGTGGCTGTTTTGTGCTTTTTATTTTTTGCCCTGATTTATCGACCGTAGAAGGAAATAGTTGAAGATTCAGACGTGCCTTTTTTTTTTCTGTTTAAGTGTTTTCTTCCCTTCTTCTCACCTTTATTTGTGTTTTAACGCATCTTTCTTGGGGGAGCTTAATTATGATCTTGATGAAAATACGCTCCGAACGGAACGTATTTGCTTTTGATTAAGCAGTGAACCTCTTAACTCGCTATGTTTGAGTTGCACTGTCATTTGGGACACTTTTCACCTTTTTGGAATGTGCCATTGTTTATCTTTTTATGCCAGCGAAGTAATCCTTCTAGTAGATTACGCAATCTCCTCCATGAATGTCCAGATATTTTGGACTTTAATTCATTTATAGTGTTTAAAAGCTTACATTAACTGTGGATTTTCCTTAATCTTTAATACGGGCTCAAAACCAATGATGCAGACGTTAATATTTGGATTTATGTCCTATAAATAAGCAGGCTGGATATTTTAATCTGTGCTGTTAATTGAAATTGTGACATGTTTAATCTCCCTGTGTGATTCAAGGTCAAGTTAAAGATATTATCTATATAATCCAATAAAATTATTGCAGCAAAATCAAACCCACTGAATGGATGCTACCATTGGAGGCCAACCCAGAGGCCTAATAATGCTGGCCTGGTTTATGCCGGAACCAACCGATTTTGAGTGTTTTGGATCATTTTCCAGTTTAAAAATAAGAAAAATCTTAATTGTGTTTAATATTTAACCCTCTAGTTTATGATTAATGTTGCAAAGTCGATATAAAACTTCACAGGGATGGATTCGGTTGCTTTAAAAGGGCAACAATCAATAATGCACAATAAAACCGGTTTGGATTTGGTCAAACAATATAATTATGAACTAAACATAAATGTGACTCTACCCTGTTTAAATTATTTTTTTCCAGAATGATGCTAGAAGCTTGATAGCTGCTAAATACCTCCAGCTTATGGACATGTATCCATATATTAATGCTTGTTCAACCTGAATGAAAGCAGTAAAAGCCCAGTAACCAGTTATCTTCAGACTGAAGCTTTAAATTCTTGCCAACAGGATTATTTCTGAAAGCAATGTTGTGTTAGATGACAGTGAGAATTAATTTGGTGTAGATAAAGCACAGCTAATGGTTGTTTTTTTTTTCTCCTTTGACTTCAAATTTTAAAACTGACACTTTAACTCCAATCATCTCCGCTTTAAGATTTTACAGAGTTTTCCAGCTTTGCTTTGTGATTAAAGATGAAAAAAAAACAGCGTATTTAGAAATTTCTGCAGACCCAAACAGACACACAAGCTGTAGTCCTGTCAGTATCAGTCATGAAGCTGTGAGTTTCCAGCACGCTTTACATTTTGGATGAAGGAAATAAATAATTAGCACCTTTACGCTTGTCTTTGGAGGCGAGAAGGAAAACCAGCCAGTTTGTTTAGACACTGTGTTACAGTCGTAATGTGAAACAACAACCAGCTTCACATCTATGTAGTAAATAGAAGCAAATTCCAATTAGTAACTTTGGTAGAGTCCTTTCTGGAAGCAGCCACATTGATTCTTCTGTACCATAGTTACTACAAATAAAAGATGGGAATGCACTTTTTGTATGTTTTTTTGTGTGTTTGTTTTGTATCATAGGATCTTGGTTTTGTGTCTATGTGCTTTAGCTTAAACCAGGCGTCTGAAACCAGAGGTGCCGGAGCCACATGGGGCTCTTTAGATATTCTTCAAAGGCTCTTCACAAATAAAATGATAAAGAGCAAACTAATCTTTTAAAATATAGATCTTAGAATTTTAACTGCTGACCAAATAAGTAGAATTTCGAAAATAAGTTGACTATATTATACCATATATTTATATATTTATTTTAGTTTTTGGAGGATTGCTAATGATTAATTTGCCAATCAATTAATTTGTTGATACTTTTTTCAATTAATAATCTGATAGCCAAAGGTTCCTGAAAGTAGTTTTTTAAAAAACGAAATTAAACAGGTGAAACTAGAACGTTTCTGCCAGAAAAAAAAGTTTTCTTTTTATTAGTGCAAATTTTTTATAAATTTTTTACAATTTTGATATAATTACTGCTCTAAGTGGGTTACTTTGTCAGCTAAAGTTATGTTTTACAGTCTCTATACTCCAGTTAAAGATTAGTTGATTGCTAAATTAGTTGACGATTATTTCAATAATCATTTAATAACGATTAATTTGTTTCAGCCAAACACAGAATAAAAAACAAATTGTTTCTTTTCTTTTCTTGTTTCTTCCTCCAAAAAAAAAAAAATAAATCCTAACAATTAGATTGCCAAATGACACACTTTACATTATAAGAGTACATATTATTTTAATCATCACATTCGGGAGGTGATATTTAAAGGCCAATGAAATTCGAGCTGTGAAAATACTTTTTAATGTTTCACAATAAACCATGGATATATATATATATATAACAAACTAAATGTTTGCAGCTCAGGGTGTCACACACACAGTCAGGTAGTTTATCAGTTATAAGCACACATAGAAGAACAAAAGGTGATGAATTGATGTCACCCTGAGCCATTAAAGCCCAAGAAGGACATTGATGTGCGGAAAAAAGCTATACACTGTATAGATATGTATAGAGTAGGGCTGCAACTAACAATTATTTTGCAAATTGATTAATCTGATTATTTTTTGATTAATTGATTAATAATTTGATAGCCAAAGATTCCTTAAAGACGATTTTTAATGAAATTAAACAAGGTGAAACTAAAGAAGGTTTTTACTTGAGAATTCTTGGATAGAGCATATTGACAGACGGAAAAGGTATTTTTTTTAATCTAAAATGCAAAATGTTTAAATATTTGCAATTTTGGTAAAAGTACTGCACTAAGTGGGTTGTTCTGTCAGCTAATGGCATGTTTTAGAGTCTCTATGCTCCAGTTAACAATTAATTGATTACTGAATTAGTTGATTATTTCAATAATCGATTAATATGATTGTTTCAGCCCATATATATATACATTTTTTGTGGGGAAAATGTGTATAATTTTCACAAAAATTTCAGAAACCCATTTAAAATATATTCTCTTTTCGCAAGTTTTTTCCTTTATTTTAAAATCTAAAAAAGAACAGTGGTTCTTTAAATTTGACATTTCTCCTGTCGTAGATAAGAAATTAGCTCTACTGATGTCAAAAATGTCTTGTTGGATTGTGAAGGTTGCAGACCCCCTGCATTAAACCTTTTAATGCTATATATTAGTATCTAAGTATTTTAGAATATAATAAATATTTTTTAGGGAATTAATGATAATTAAATGCTGTATAACAGATGCTCATATAGCAGTTAACACAATTCAGCATATTCATAGTTAATTTAAAACACTATTTAACCAGAGGAATAACTAGGGTGCACATATCTGCGCCCCCCTTTATCTAATGTTTTTGGTGTATTCTAAAAGTACAAAAGCTAAAAACCTTCTCCTTTGGTTAACTATTAGAAGGTAAATCCTCATGCTTTGTAATCTGTCCTGCTAGTTTTTAATTTCCCATCATTGTCAACACAATCAAAAACCTTTAATTTCTTAGCCCTGCATTCCTCTTTTCCACAAACGATTGAAATTTCACACATTTGATTTATCATTTATAAGTTAAAATCAGAGATAGCTAACCAATAGTGGAGAACATTCTGTGTCCTCGGTGAAGGTTGCCTCAGGAAAGGTATCTGAAACTTAAAGGAAAATAAATAGGAACATGAGTGTTATAGGCTGGGATCACAATAGAGATGAAGAGGACAGTGCAGTCAAACAGGAGAGGAGTGTGATAGACTAATGCTTCTAGGATTTAGGGAGATCTGACATGTTACTGGTTTGGAGACTATTCCACAGTCTATAGGTCAGGAGGATGAGCTAGAGATGCTTATTTGGATTGACCAGGGAGGATATGATTAAATGTTAGATCAGTTAGAGCTAAGGTTGGGTTATTTAGATGAGCTGAGTGTGCTATGAAGCATCCTTTGTTCCTAAGTTTCTAATGCATACAGATGGAAAACATAAAAATATGTGTGCTCACTACTCCTAAATCTGCAAATGTCTATAAGATGGCTAATGAATGTGGTATTCTTCTACCCAGTTAAACATATAAATAAAATTTGGATAGAATATATTGTGGTATATAAACATTTACAATCAACAGACTGTATTTTGCCTCACCAATTAATTTATTGCAAATTTACCGGTACCAGCACATTTAGGTGAAGTAGATGTAAGGTTATATATGAATAAATTAATAATACATTTAGAAATAATAATTTTATTTGTATTTTTGTTTCTCCTAATGTTTACTTTTTTTATCCTAATGTGTAAAAATGAACAAAAACATATATGCAATAGTTAAAAAAAAAAAAAATTTGAAAATGTTCAAATACAAACATGTCTAACTTAGGGCAAATATTTGCCATTGGAAGCTCTCTGCAGTGGTTGCACACAATGACTGTTTGCCCCACATTATTTTCAAGTGAAATAAAAGCAGGGTAAATACCCTCATAAAAATTATGATAGAGAAAGAAGTATTCTGAAATTAGAGGACTGCAAATGATGCAATAAATGGCAAAAAAAAAAAAAAAAACATATTAATACAATTAAACCTTTACAAAATAGTATTTGGAGCTGGACAGGCACACCACCTGACATATTGACACTTTTAGGCAAGTACAAAAACAAAAAAACAATAAGAAATTTCTGTTTTTATTTTCAGAGTAAGTGCATAGCAGTGAAAAAATACTACTTACATGGCATATCTTTATGCATTTAAACAATTTTTAACACACAATAAATTTTTAATTGAGGTGGTTTTGTTTTGTAGGTAAAATGTGAAAACTACTATGTCCAATAATATATACTTTCATGAAAAGGTTTGAAATGTTTTTCCTCGGATGACTTTTTCATGGATAGCTATAGCACCACATATATATTATTTATATAAATATAT